TAGCCCTGCAAGTAAACCACTCTCACTCTCATAGGCTGCCGAAGCAGTGAAGTGAGATAGTGAGAGGGTAGGAGAGAGATGGTGGACTGAGAGGAGGAAGAGGAAGAATTCTCTCTCTCTCTTCTGGAGGCGTTGTGCTGCAGGTACCTCGTTGGCGGGTTGGAGCTATGGCGCCTCAGGTAAGTCACTCGGTGAGTGGCGCTCTGCTGCAGGTACCTCGAAGACGAAGCTGGAGCTATGGCGCCACAGGTAAGCATCTCTGGCCTCCGCCAGCCTCCTCTCTCCACTACTCTGGTCTACTGCTACTAGCGCCCAACGCTGAAGACTACTGCTAACGCTACTCTACTACTGCAGCCGAATCCTGAAGACTACTGCCTCCTGTAGAAGTGCACGTTGAGTGCCTGGGCAGTCTCCTCTCGTCTSTCCCAACCTGTAGGGCGGGCCAGTCTTATATAGTGTTGGCCCGTCCAGGAGGCTGCTCTTGCCAATGCCTGCACGTGCTAGCCCTTGAGGAAGCTTCAGGCAGGTCACTCCTGCCAATGCCCGAATGTGCTTGTATCAGGGCAGGTTGGTCTGACGAGGGCCCGAGAATAGCCCTCAGTTTCAGGCTAAAAAGGCTAAGGCCTTTTTTTAGGCTGAAACGATGCAGGGCCTCTGGGCCCCAGATGTCAGGCTTTTGGGCTGAACCGTCATGGGGCATGTAGGCCCGGAAATAGCCCTCAGTTTCAGGCTGAAAAGGCTCAGGCCTTTTTTTGGCTGAAACGATGCAGGGCTTGTGGGCCCCGGATGTCAGGCTTTTGGGCTGGACCGTCATGGGGTCTGCAAGCCTGGAAATAACCCTCAGTTCCAGGCTGAAAAGGCTCAGGCCTTTTTGGCTGAAACGATGCAGGGCCTGTGGGCCCCGGATGTCAGGCTTTTGGGGTGAACCATCATGGGGTCTGCAGACCCTTAGTTCCAGGCCTTGAGCCGGAAATTCAGGCTTCCAGCCTGAACGACGCAGGGCCTGGAAAATGGCCCTCCTGTGCAGGCGCAGCATGTAACAGAGAGAGAGAGAGACCCGTAGAGCACATTCGCACCGATGCACCCACGCAGAGCACGCACGCGCGCACCGGCCACGGAGCACACACACCCGCACATGGAGAAAGGTAGACAAACCGTGGGCGGCAACAACATTGCGCGCGGGCAATTGGAGGGGTGACCCGGCAACAAAAAAACGGGCGCGCGGGCGACTGGAGAGGTGGCCGGCAACACCGAAGCGGGCGGCCGGGGCAACAAAACAGACGGGCGGGCGATTCGGCGCTTCCGGTACCAACCGGCGACCATGGAGGAGTGGGCGGGGCGGGCCACGATTACAGGTGGACGGGCGGGCGGACGATCGGAGGGGTGGGCCATGATTACGGGCGGGCGATTGGAGGGGTGGGTGGGCCTGCAATTTGGCACCTCCAGTAGCGACCGGCAGAATCTGAAATCTGACATCGCACGGACCGAATCGCAGGCCGGTAACCATGGCGGACGGCCCAGATCGCAGGCCGATCAGAAAACTTTGGCCTGCGATCCGCGCCGTCCGCGGTGGTTACCAACCTGCGATTCCGGCCGTGCGATATGACGTTTAGCAGTTATTATAGTGTTGTAGAAATAGATCCAGTCCACACATGATCTGCCTCCCTGCTGATCTCTCTTCAGGTGGTGTGAAGTGCCTTCTTCTTCCGGTTGAGATGAGCACGTACACTGATGTTTGAGAGTCTCGGTGTGTTATCATGCTCATTCCGCTCATGGAATACAGCCTTAGTTTCAGCACATGTCCAGATTTTGTCCCTGATACGCATCACTGGCCCTCTCACCTCTCTAATCAAAACAAACTAGTATAGCTACCAAGGTTCAACAACAATTGCACATGCGCTGAGCACCTGCGCCGTGGTGTGCTGAGAAACTAGGTGCACCACTCAAGACGCCAAATAAACAAATGAGCTAAGTTACCAGGGCGGACGTCCAGGACCCCCCGATTGTCCAGGTTGTCCGATCAGACAACCGGCCCAAACGTCCGCCCTGGACCACCTGTCCAACCCCCAGGAAAAAGAGGGGGTGGTGGTGGTGGTGGGTGG